AGCATAATTTGTTCCTTAAGTGAGAGTGTATTTGAGGTGGTTTGATCGATTTGAGCTTTATTTTGCATTTCTAGTTTGTGAATATGCTGTAGTAAGTCACTAAGCTGTTTATTTCTTTGCTTTTAGCTTTAGTGCACATTTGTAAATTTATATCACGTATATATGCTTTGTGAGCGCACCAAATGGTGCCAGAGATTGATACAGATTGCAAATTTATATGGAAGAGCTCCTCAAGATGTTTTTCAAGTATCAAGTTATTGTGTTGGGGATTTTTATAATGGGCGAATTTACGCGCCAGAGGTTGTGTGCTTTCAATAACTGGTTATCCAAAATAGTAATTGAAACCGGCACATGGTCTTACCATGTTATATTGTCTATGGTTGATGTGGTAACATTTTGCAGTAGCCATTTATCTACCAACATAATGTCAATTCTCGAATAAAATTGATGTCTAGCTGGAAAAAAGGTGTAATCTCACCTGCATGTTGACATTTACAAACTTCATAGACATCTTCATTTATTAGAAATAGGTATAGGGTTGTGGTAATTTTTTTTGTGAGATTTTGTTGAGTCTAGGTTTCTGTCAACTATGAGGTTGAAGTCACCACGAACCAGAACAATTTTTGGAGATTAGTTTGAAGAGCTTGGTAAAGTATCTTTTTTGATAGGTGCATATGAATTTACAATAGGACCCTGAATTCACTATATCTGGTCTCCCACAGTACACAGAACATGGAAATGCAATTATTTTAGTAAATAGAAACTGCTAAATACCTAGCCAAAAAGTCTTCTGGTATAACCTAGGGTGTGCTTGCCATCATCCCTATTTTTCTAATAGAACAATTTATACCTTACATTTAGAGGGATTTTTAAGGCAACCTTGAAGTATAAGTAAACCACACAATTTTTAAAAAAGTTTTGACATTTTATTAGTACATCAAATGCATATATCCCCAATAAAACATGACAATTTTTGACAACATGTTAATTTGACAATAGTTGTGTTATTGCCTCAAAAAATTTGCAGTATCTCTTGAAGTTGATTTTCATCTTGCAACCTCAGTTGAGGAAACTACAAGTGCATTCAGTCTATAACCAATGCGTTTTGAATACTTCAAAACAGATTATTCCTCAGGGAAAGGATACCGCTCTAAAACAATAATTAAACCCTATATATATATTATTTATGGTCCAAAAATTTACCAATGAACTTAAAAAATTTTACATACCACCAAAACTGGTCAAAGTGAAAATGATCTGCTGTGTTTTGGAGAATAAGTCCCCCTCAAAAAGGCTGAGGTAATCGCTCGACATACAGGAACCACAGTGTATCAGTTAGTATAATGTCTTCTATATTAATGTCCCAAAATATAGCACAAGACATCAAAATTGTATCAGCAAGTTGCTGTGTCTTTTAATAGTATAATAGAGATCAGGAGTATGCTAAATGTTCAATATATATTACATATGAACAAATATGTTGTTTAGACATTTGAATCATTCTTTATCTCACTATAACATGTGAGCAGATATCTTGGTTAAACAATTAAATCACTCTTTATCTCCCTTTAATTTGGGATATGATATCAATAAAATAGGGGAGAAAGAAAACTAATTAGATGTTATAACATTTTTTTTTGTTAAAGAAAATTACTTACATTTTTGGAATTCACCATGTACATATGAAGACACAGTGCTATAGTGGTTGAACCTTGAAAAATTTGCCATTCAGACTATAACCCATCGAAGGGTCCAAAACAAAGCAAGCATAGTACATGTAGTTCCTCCTGGGACCAAACACTATTTAACAGCTGCCTCCAAGTCACAATACTTAAGGCCTTATATAAGGTCCAAAAAAAATTGTAATTGATATATTTCTCCTCCCATTTGCAGGAACGCATCCACACGAAGGGAAGATGATGCCCCTAATGTGATTCCTGGCGTTCTCCACAAATGCGCAGGCGCAGCTACGTCTTACATACTATTGTCGCATCCATCTCCAGAGATGGAGTCAGGTGGACGCCATGTTGGAGAGCGCCGCTGACACGGAGTAAACGGATCCATTTGGAGCACAAATCCGTTTACTCCCATGTCGGATTAAACAGCTGAAAAAGACCAATGCCATCAGAAAATGAATGTCAGGACTCATGGTTTCCCAGCAGAACATTGTCCAAAGTATTACACTGCCTCCGCTGGCTTGCTTTCTTCCTATACTGCATCCTGATGCCATCTCTTCTCCAGGTAAGTGATGCACATGCACCCGGCCATCCACATTATGTAAAAGAAAACTTGATTCATCAGACCAGGCCACCTTCTTCCATTGCTCCGTGGTCCAGAACTGATGCTCATAAGCCCACTGTAGGTGCTTTCGGCTGTGGACATAGCTTGGGCACCCTGACAGGTCTGTGACTACACAGACCCATACAGAACAAACTGCGGTGCCCATTTTTTTCTGCTTTTAACATATCTACTTTAAGGACAAAATTTGTAGTTGCTGCCCACTGACTTTCAAATGCCATTGCAACAAAATAATCAATGTTATTCTCTTAACCTGTCAGTAATCATAAAATATGGCTGATCAGTGTATACAGTAGCAGATCCTACTAGTTTGAAAGATATCATTGGCCATTTGGGATCACCCTCTAGGTTTTACAGTTTTATGAACATTTGGTCAGGATTGATCGTGTTTCTGATACATTTTAGGGTATACTGTAAGATCAGAGCCCCCTCCTCGTTAATTATTCTCTGGGCTGTCTTACTCCTTTCTCTCTGCTAAAAAATCCAGGAAAGCATGTGATCATTTTTAGAAAGTCTCCTCTGGTTTTTTTCTCCCCTTAGACCCCAGGTCAGATGTATGGCAATGCAAAACCTTGGATGTTTTTGTTTTTAACGCTGTGTGGGTGGTTTAAAAGTGTCAGTTGATAGACATGTATACACCAGCTCATGTATATCTCCTGAAGAAGTGGACTTTAATTCATGAGAAGCACCAAGAAAGTCCTAAATTCTTGCCAAACTTCAGTCAATAAGACATGTTTTCTTAACCACCAGCACACTAATTGTACAGGTGTGTGCAGAGTTTTAAATAATAACCTGACTAGGGTTCTGGGCTCCACCCCGACAGACAGGAGGTCATTGCCTAGGAGTCAGGAGGGCTCCACCTAGGAGAGGTGGGAGCCAGAGCAGCAAGGGGCTGTATACCTGAGAGAGCCAGGAGGCTGAATATTTGTTTAATTTGTATTGATGGTGGATACTCCTGTGTGGGAAACATATTGTATGAAACTTTCATTTAAATAAAATTGGGCTAAAAGGCCCTTAAAAAAGAAGAAAGCAAGTGGCTGTGTGCTTAAAAGCTCCACCCTTTACGCTAGTTCTCACAGCATTTTATATATTGTGACAGTGCTGTGCCCTGCAGTTGGGTTGAAATAGAAAAAAATTACACAGGGTTCTTAAGGATACTGATTGAGGGGCCCCAATGTGTCTCTTTTGCCTTTTCAGTTTCTCTTGGTTTTTTAACTGCTGGATTGAGGTCCAGAGCCTTTGAAGAGCTTTGGGAAGGAAGAAGCCTCTGACCCTGTGTTTTAGGTCTTGCCAAGTACCAGCAGGATGAATGTGTAGGTGCTCACAGTCAAGAGGCTGTGTGCAGTTCAGGGTTCAACCCAGGAGACAGGAGGTTTCTTGCCCAGGTCAGGGAATGAGCCAGTGCTGAGAGAGCTGAAATTGCAAAGAGAGCTAGGTGAGCTATAAGAGTTGAGATAAAAGTGCAGAGGTTACACAGCAGTGCTAAAGAGCACAGCAGTGCTAAGAGTTTGGTTTGAGGAACCAGCCAAAAGGCCTGGGCTTGAAGCCTGAGCAGCAACACTACAAGAGAGAGCCAGGAGGAAAAAGTCATCTTCTTCTGCTGGAAGCAGGGCCGTCTTTAATATTGACTGGACTTTGTGCAAACATTTTATTCCCCCCCCATGCAATTTAACTCTCCACCTGTTCTGAGACACACAATAAATAGAAGCTAGACTCAAAATACGTTTATTTAGCAGATCAGGCAGCAATTGCAATTGGCTGCTAGAAATTACAGCATATCATTTTAACTGACTGGTTGGTAGAGGTTACAGCACACATTACGGCTCACGGATTAGTTGCTAAATGTGCTGTAACCTCTAGTAATCAATAAGTGGTAATGATGCACAATAACCAAGAGCAACCAACCAGTGAGCTGTAATAATGTGCAGTATCCTCTAGCAACCAGTGAGCGGTAATGACGTGCAGTAAACTCTAGCAATCAATCAGTGAACAGAAGTGAGAAGTGATCTATTGTAATCTCTACCAACCAATCAGTGAGCAATATTGATGTGCAGTAACCTCTGGCAACCAATCAGTGAGCAGTAATGATGTGCAAGAACCTCTAGTAGCCAATCAGTGAGCGATATTGATGTAGAACAGGCTGATAGTAGGCTCAGTGACCACAGTTGCAGGCAGGACTTTCAAGCATGCCGTTTACCTCTTCAGTGGGCAGAATTCAGCAGAGGTGATGGTGGCTGGAACCTCAGGGGGGCATGATATACAAATGAATGCTGCAGATATTTACTTATAAATGCCCCCATTTACATATCAATGCTGCTGCCTGGCTCTATTTAAATATGAATGCTGATTATTTACATGTGAATGCTGACACAGTCTGCATGTGAGCCATGGCATTAGGGCAGAGCTGGGCAGCATAAGTGACAGCACTTCACAGTGAGATATAGGGACACAGTGTGGGACAAAAACTTAAAGGGAATGTAATCTGGGACAGTTGGCAAGTATGGGGCAGCTGCTTTGGGCCCCACAGCAATGACTGAGTCCAGGGCAGCTGTCCCTTTTTTCCCTCCTTAACCGCCTCCCGCCCGCCATATAGTACAATGACAGGAGCAAGACGGTGCTCTCGTTCTGGGAGGACATCATATGACGTCGTCCCATTCTAACCGTGCATGCGTGGCTCTGGGAGTGCGCAGCGCGGCGATCGCCAGTGCTCTGTGTCCCTTGGACACAGCGGATCACCAGTCAACGGAAAAAGCCGAAGATGTCGGCTCAGTCATGTGATCAGCTGTGTCCAATCACAGCTGATCGTATGTAAATAGGGAAATGCCGGTTATTGGCATTTCTCTCCTCACGAGCTGTCAGGCTGACAGCTCGAGAGGAGAGGAGAGGCGGTAATTGGCATCCCTCAGAGGGGACATGTACACTGATCATCAGGGCACTGGTGATCAGTGTGCCCTGATGATCTCTGTAGCCCCAGCAGTGCCACCTGTCAGTGTCCATCAGTGCCAGCTGTCAGTGCTCATCCATGCCACCTGCCAGTGCCCATCAGTGTCAAATCAATGCCACATTTCAGTGCCCATCTGTGCTGCTTTTCAGTGTCACCCATCAGTGCCAGTCAGTGCCACCTATCAATGCCAGCCAGTACCACCTATCTGTGCTGCCAATCAGTGCCACCTATCAGTGACAGTAAGTGCCACCTATCAGTGACAGTCAGTGCCGCCTATCAGTGTGCATCAGTGACACCTATGAGTGCATGTCAGTGCTGCCTATCAGTGCCACCTAACAGTGCCCGTCAGTGCCACCTAACAGTGCCAGTCAGTGCCACCTATTAGTGCCAGTCAGTGCTGCCTATCAGTGCCATATATGAGCGCTGCCTTTCAGTGCCCATCAGTGATGCCTGTCAATGCCCATCAGTGCCACCTACCAGTGCCTCCTCATCAGTGCCCATCAGTGCCTTCTATCAGTGTCCATCAGTGCAGCCTATCAGTGCCCATTACTGCAGCCTCATTACCGCACATCAGTGAAGGAGAAAAATAACTTATTTGCAACATTTTATAACAAAAACTAATAAAAAACTTTTTTTTTCAAAATTTTCAGTGGTTTTTGGTTTGTTTAAGAAAAAATAAAAAAACCCAGAGGTGATTAAATATCACCAAAATAAAGCTCTATCTTTCACAAAAAAATTATAAAAATGTCATATGGGTACAGTGTTGCATGACCGCGCAATTGTCATTCAACGCGCAACAGCTCTGAAAGCTAGAAATTGGCATGGGCAGGAAGGGGGTATAAGTGCCCTCTAGGCTAGTGGTTAAAGACGGCCCTGGCTGGAATCGATGGTAGAAATCCCTACAAGGGCAACCAGTTCTGAACTTTTTTTCTGTAAATACAAGTGGGCCAACAGGTCCTGACCAGTGTTTCCTGGCTGGAATGAACTCATTGGGAAGCATTACAATGAGCAAACCCGCCTACATATAATAGTATGTATGAACAGTAAAGGGCATGCAAACATAAACCTGACTAATAGACCTGTATTACACCTAATGAAATTATATTTTTCTTTTTTGTATGGGATGAATCCGAATATCCCACCAGGAGGAATCCATTTGAATTTTTGTAACGGAACAATGGAAAATGTAGTCCTAATATTAGCTCCTTTCTTTATGTTCCTGAAAAATTCTTTTACAAATATGACTGTGTAGTGTAGCTTTGGTTTACAGATTAAACTGGTTATAAATGAAACAATAGCTTTGAAAGCGATGCCTTTGTTCTGAGTTTTCCTACAGACATACAGAATGTGATACGCTATGCAATAAATAGTGGATGTATAATACGCGATACTTCATGAGCAACGACAAAGGAGAATAAAACAGGTTTTGAAAAACAAGCATGACGCTACGGCAGACAGTACTTTCGTTTGTTAAAATCACACTTTACCTGACACATCCTATCAGCAACAGAGGAATAACATAGTCCTATAGTGTAAATAAATAACATCTGTACCTGCCGCTATAAATCAATATATATACAAATATTACAAAGAGACTCTCCATGTGCAGTCTATAAAAAGATAAGGCAATCTGGCATTAATATACAGCATATGCTGAGATTCCAGATTTGTTGCTCCTGTACAGATTTCTCATTCCACGCTCTACAAATCTACTGTGCATTCAGCATATGCAGAATATATGGCATGGCTTCCTGAGCATGCAGTTGCATATAAATTCATCAATACTAGGTTAGCAGTGGTATCAGAGACACAGAAAATATATCAGAATCCTGATAGGTTACCTATTGTATTTTGTTACATATGCAATATTATAATAAAATTGTCTCAAAACGCTCTTTATCCTTGGAGTTTTATCCTCGCTATATCTGGCACAACAGGATTAGAGTGAACGACACCTTTGCATTGCATAAAAGGATATTTGTATTGAGCTTAACCAGTTAAATATCTTGGACATACCTCATACACCAGGGCTTGACAAATTTGTTTTGAATCTAGGAGTCAGCTAAAAAAGTTAGGAGGCAGTTTTTCACTTGCCTACTGGTTACTTTCACCCCCTTCCTGCCCAGGCCAATTTTCAACTTTCAGCACTGTCATACTTTAATGGACATTTGCGCAGTCATGCGACACTCTACCCAAATTACATTTTTATCTTTTTTTTTTTTTTAGACAGATAGAGCTTTTTTTTAGTCATATTTAATCACCACTGGGTTTTTTATTTGTTACAAAAAACACGAAGAAATGACAGAAAATTTAAAAAAAAAAAAAATTTTCTTCAAATAGGTAGTTTTTCTTCACTGATGTTTGGTGATGAGGCTGCACCGATGGGCACTGATGAGGCTGCACTGATTGGGCCACTGATGAGATGGCACTGATGAGGCCCCACTGATGAGGCACTGGTGAAGATGAACTGATGAGGCACTGATGAGGCTGCACTGATAGGGCCACTGATGGGGCTGCACTGATGGGGCCCTGATGAGATGGCACTGATGAGGCTGCACTGATGAGGCACTGGTGAAGATGAACTGATGAGGCACTGGTGAGGCTGCACTGATAGGGCCACTGATGAGGCTGCACTGATGGGGCCACTGATGAGATGGAACTGATGAGGCTACACTGATGAGGCACTGGTGAAGATGAACTGATGTGGCACTGGTGAGGATGCATTGATAGGGCCACTGATGAGGCTGCACTGATGGGGCCCTGATAAGGCTGCACTGATGGGATGGGACACTGATGTGGCTACACTGATAGGGCCACTGATGATGATGGGGCTGTACTGATGGGCCACTGATGAGGCTGCACTGATGAAGCTGCACTGAAAGGCTGCGGCACTGATGGGGCCCTGATAAGGCTGCATTGATATGGCACTGATGGGGCCCTGATAAGGCTGCATTGATATGGCACTGATGATGCTGCACTGATGGGACACTGATGAGACTGCACTTATTGGGCACTGATGGGGCCACTGATGAGGCTGCACTAATGGGGCACTGATAGGTGGCTGCACTGGCTGTCACAAGGGTAGCTGGCTCCTGGGCTGCCCAGACCTGACTCTGAGCTGCAGTCTGAGCCCATCCAGAGTGGGAACCGGAGCGCCTGGAGCATCCCCTGCGGGAGGTGTCCAGCTCAGAGCTATCTCTGAGCCTGTTCAGAGCCACCGGTTTATGCTCCAAGGTAAGACTGAGAGTCTCCCCAGAGTAGCAGGTGTCCCTGACAGCCCCACAGGTGTCTTCTCCTGCCAGCTCTGCTCCTCCTCTGACACACCCCTCCTACTACTGTACAGCCCCGAATCTCCCCTAGCCCACCTTTCACATTCCTGCCACTCTCCTCCTTTAACCCACCCTCCCAGTGCTACTCCTCCCTACTCCCAGGCTTCACACACACGGCACAGTGACACCTGCAGGCTGTGCGGCAATGTTGCGCCTGGCTACAGCCCAGGCGCCAGGATGCATTTTCTAGTTGCAATTGTGACCTAGTGCATGGGATTTGTTGAGCCCTGTCATACACACCTGTTTGAGTTTGGGACTTCCCTTCAAGAAATAGCACTTTTCCACACTTCAGCTTTTTCTGCACAATGCCTAATGGGCTCTTGGAAGAGTTCTGGTTATGCCAAACTTATTCCATTTGAGAATTATTGAGGTTGCTGTGCTCTTGGGAACCTTCATTGCAGCAGAAATTTTTTGTAGCCTTCCCCAGATCTGTGCGCAAGGCTATTGCAAGATATTGCAAAAATAATCCTGTCCCTGAGCTCTGCGAGCAGTTCATTTGACTACACGGCTTTTGCTCTGATACAGTGTGCATTGTGAGCTGTGAGACCCTTTCTAGAGAGTTTTGTGCCTTTCCAAATCATGTCCAATCAATTTAATTTACAAACATTTCTAAAATTCTGTTTTAACTTTGCCATTATGGGGTACTGAGTGTAGATTGTTGAGAAAACAATGAATTTAACGACTGTAGTATCAGGTTGCATCATAACAAAATTGAAAAATAGTGGAGGGGGTCTAAATACTATAGGGGTGCATTGTAAATATGACACTATAGTCCATACAGATGTTTCACACCTTGTGAATGATGATTTATGTACAGAGTGTGTGCATGTTCCAGGTACACTGATATAAAACCCAGGAAAACTGGGACAAGTGGCTTCCAGATCTTGCAGCCCTGCATTAATACGTACAATTATATTGATATTGGTTAAACCATCTTTTTCACATACCATTCAATTCTGCAGGCTGCATACTGTTAGACCTTGCAGCTCTGCGATGATATCTACGTTGTACTAAGGGATCTTCATAACTCAATAACCTTGTGGCTTGCATCTTTTATTTTGCCCAGAGGCCTTATGTGAGTTGTCCCTCATATAGTCTGTGGGAAGACATTATATTATTTTCCATTGTGATATCACTTATTTCAAGTTCTATTTCCATTTATGTCTGGCCCTTTACATGTCATTGATATTTTTTCCAAATATAACATTGGGATCGTTTATGTGGTCGGTGACTTGTCCCAGCATTCAAGGTCTTTGCATTATAGCAGGCTGCATGGAGGAGAGAATCGGTAGTGGTACATGCTATTAAAGCTTTAGGAGGACATCTGGGAATGGGAGCTTTATTTGTATAAGGAAGAACGAGGATATTTTCATAAATAAGGTAGGTAGATGTGAGCGCACAGAATAAATAAAAGCAGCTTATGCACAAGGTAACCAGGTAAAACCTTAAAATAAGCAGTAGAAATGATGGTGTGCAGCGCTAAAATGATCAAAAAGGTATATAAGAACTAGCGTATAGACAAATAATCAAAATTAAAGTCATAAAATTAAATATCATAAGACATAAAAGGGTTCACTTTAGGTGCTCATTAATCCTGTGACGTCCTGGAGGCGGTGATTGTGCATACAGATATGAAAGGAATGCACACTCACCAGAACACGCAAGATAATTTTTGTGTATTAAATCCTGATGTCATCTAATGGTCATCATAGTTTAGGGCAGGAATCCAATAAACTTCCTCTTAGGGTAGATGGGTCCTGGGATTTAGGGGTGATGAATCAGGGTTTTTCCAGAGTTTCCTTTAAGGGATGGATGAGTGCAGCTCCCTGGGTATAATGAAGGCTCCCTCTCTGGAGGTCAGGTGGTGAGTAGCTGTAAATTAATACTCCACAGGGGAATCAAGGCAAATACATACCCATAGTGTAGTAGGTTTGGAGTATTTATTGCAGAA